TGTATAAGAGGATAAGAGAAGATTCTGGGTAAGCTAGAAACAGTCTTATTAAATGTGGCAATTGCAGTTTTCGGGCCTTGGAAGAACTCACAAGGTCACTGCAGAGCGTTCATTACAGCGCCACAGGGGCCAAACAAGCTGCGAAGGTCCTCACACAGACCCTAACACAACTAGGATTGGATGTCGGTTTCAAAAGCATCTGCGAGAAGTCAAAGGGCGCTGCAGAGAAGTTTGGCTTGAAACAATCGTCTGCCAAACCACCGGGGTTGCCAAACCACCGGCACGATTCAAACAAACCAGCACCCCAGCATGACCTGCAGCTCTTAATGCAAAAGCAAGGTTGCAAAAGGAGTATTTTTCAGCGATTGACTGTGTCACAAGCGAAATCAGCAGGTTTGACCAGCCCGGCATGGAGAGACTAGTGGACGTTTTGACGTCCACTTTCAAACCAATTTTGATCATTTTGACACCCGTGACGCCACTTCCTGGAGACGTGAAAATATTTTCAAAACATTTTACCGTCCCCCGTCAAAATATTCTTGTAATTATACCGATGTCTCCAACTTGGAACTTTGGAGCTTCGGAGTTCGGACTGGAGAGCGATCGAATGTGGCGGTCAAGAGAAGATTATCTTGCTTGCAGGCAGCGTCGCCGCTCAACACGCATTTTCTCAAAATAAATGTTATGCAGTCAACTGCCTGTTTTTACGACCTTCTAAAATAATGTGGAATGAAAAACACAAACACTTCTCAAAGTGCATCAGCTATCGGGCCACACGCAACGTTTGCTTGGCTGCACCCAACATTACAGAATACGGTACCGCTGCTTATCATGATATATTTCACGTGACTTATATAGATAAAGAAGCTGAATGCCATGTCATAAAACTTGCAGTTAATTGGAAAATGTGTGTACATATCTTGTACAACTGCGCCAAAACCGTTGCTCATTTGCACCAGTCAAGAAACATCAAGGAGGCAAAGCTTGCATTCACAACCTTCTATTTAACATCCCGATCGTTTAATGGTTAACACATAGTATGTACACGAACCAAACAAAAAATATAAGCTAAAAAACGAACTCACAAAACCTGATTAAAACAAGGCGGGAGCCATAGGCAAAGCGAGACTGTAACCACAAGAAGACGTGCTCACACGATATAACAGCACAAAAAGCATTCTAAATTTCAGAGTGTTACGTAGTGTACGCACTTGCATTTTTTTACATGCAGGCAATACAAAAGGACATGCAGCTCGCCTCTGCTGTAGATTAAATATCTTAAGTGACACACGTGACGAGATGCGAGCTGAGAATGCTCAGAACATCGCCACCGGGCATGTCACGTCCGAAAGGAGGATCAACTGTCGAGCCAGTCCCACACACTGCCAACTGGGACCAAAACTTCTTGGGCAGGCAACACATGAATTTGTAAAAACATCAACACCATCGGAAACTAAAGAGACAAAACTTCAAAACAACAATCACTGCGACGGTTGCTGTAGGCTGCTGCATTGAAGGTGGACGTCTGAATAATAAAAGCACTATTTTTATGTTTTACGAAAGTGACGTCACAGACGACAAAATAATCGTTGAAATATTTTCACGGTGGACGTCGAAATAGTCGCTGCCTATACATGTTTGCGAGTCCTGTCTCAGGGCGCCACCATCTTGCTCAGTGGGGTGCGCTCTTGGGCGCGGCCATGATCCAATTACGACGCCTCAGCAAGGCTTCGTAACCGAATTATGACTTGTCCAAGCGCACGCCAGCCGAGCAAGATGGCAGCGCCCTGAAGCCGGACTTGCAAATGTGTATAAAGCGCGAAACACATGTACGACGAAACCGTCCGATCCGACGTGCGGACTGCCGGAATGACCTTGGGGGGAGAGGGTTTTCGTAGCATCGGAGAGCGTTGAAAACCCTCGCCTCCGACCGTCGTATTGCGCGGTCGGACGTCGGATCGGACGGTTTCGTCGTACATCTGTTTGCAAGTACGGCCTCAAAGCGCTGCCATCTTGCCCAGTTTGGGCGAGTCATAATCGGATTACGGCGCTTCGGCGAGGCTTCGTAATCGGATAATGACGCATGGCCAAGCGCACCCCAACTTAGCAAAGTGACGGTGCCTTCTGACCGTACATAAAAACGTGTAGGGGGGTATCCACTGGCGGTCATAGCTGCGTGTGCGACTGCCGAGAGCGTGCTGACGGCGAGCTTCCAGTTCTTTCGCAACGTGCATTCCGCACCATCAAGATTGGCCGTCTGAACAGCTTATTAATGTAAGCTTGTTCTGAGCATGCGCTCTTAACATCACCCCCAAATATGGCGTCCAGTGAATACCCCGTATTCTTTTTCTGTTTTAGTGTATTAGATGATCCACGACTTTAAATATATTTGGCAAATACTTTACTAGGAAAATACAGGACACTCAACGAGAACACATTGAAAAAGACAACATAGAGCTGCGAAAACACGCGTGACGGCGACAGCGGTACAGTCTTTGCATCTGTGACCCCGTCAACCGCATTTCAAGGCATCGCCTTCACGTGCTCTGGCGACGAGAGGAGGCGGGTGGGGGAGAGAGGCGTCGCCAAATAAACCCCTCCACCATTGACTGCTTCTGGCGTGGCCGTCGTCCGTCCAATCCAAATGAGGAGTCTCCTGTATTCTCTTAGTAAATAATTTATATTTGCTATTCATCAGTTTGAAAAGCATGTGATCACAAAGAGTGAGCATGCCTAAAACCGGCCAATTTTCAAGTGGCGCTCTCTGGGCAAAAAGAATACAAATTTCGAACCTCAAATTGTGTTCTGGGTAAAAACTCGACGAGCATAAATACCCTGTCAGTGTCCCTTTAAAGAGATCATAAAGGCAATTAAATTTTTTTTTTTTTTAAAGAAGGTGTTTTTGAAAGCATTGGGGTCCTGGCATGCCACACAATTTTTTCTAGAACGTTGTGACTTATTTCTGTATCTGCAAATAAATTTGCGAAACGGAAACAAACATTCAGATTTCTTCCCTTTTTTGCCTCTGGAAAGAGAAGTGACGTCAGGGAGCACTGTCGGCATCGGTAGGATTTAGTGCACACTCAGTATGGTTCCCGTGGTTCGCTCTAGCGCACGGCGGTCTGTGAAAAAAACCTGCAAGAAATGGACGACAACGCCGCGCTCGCAAACGAGTCAGCAACCTCACGCCGACTGAACGGGAGATGCTGCTAAGGACGCAGAACTCTGGATTGCTGCATCGGTCGGCAGTTTACGCAAACTAACGTCGCCCGATCGACCACACGTCTTTAGCCGACCTTTCGCGCAACCTACTACAGCACATAAACGCGGCATGATTGGTGAGACACCAGTTCACAAAGCTAACACGAGACGACGCACGAAACCAAAACCAAAAGTCCGCCGCCCCCGGCGCTCGTACGTCTTTTTCTTTTTTTTGTCCATGGTTGCTCTATGCTTGTTACGCACCCGAGATAGCAGTGCGGGATGCGTTCAACCAGTGACAAAAGGAGGGACCGCTTCAGATTATGTTTTTATACACGGTATGAAACCTATTAATTCCCAACTACAACTTCAAAATATTATCCAACGTTCAAATAAACTTTTTTCATCACATCTCAGCACCGAAATCGAAACCAAGAGCGCGTCTATCGTTTGAACTAGGGTGCCTTCATACACTGTCGCCACGTCTGTCTTAGGGTGGCGGCATCTTGGCCATTTCTATGCCCAGAATGCACGCGCTTCGATCTCGTTCGGAGCGAGCGCTTAGCTTTGCCGGGTGCTTTGGCGCCATATTAAGGCCCATTCGGCACGCGCAGGCATTTTTCAATACAACAATGGATGTCTTCACCCTATGACAGACGCACATTGAGGCACCCTAGTTTGAACCAATCGCCAGACGAGGAGCCCGTTGTCGTCACGCTTCGACGGCGCACTTTAGTTCACCTTTCTGCCGCCGCCTCGATGGGGTCTCAGGCATCGTTCCCGGGACTATTATTACCGCGCCTGTTTGCTCGATTGGTGCGGCACCCAAACTTCTGTTCGGGCTAGAACTTGGTCAACAGCATCTGAAACGTGCCTGACATCGATTTCAATCGTTGAATAAAACTTTGAAACTACCTTCATGGTCCCTTTGAAGAGGCCCTGCAACCCTATCTAACGTCTACCTTTTTTGTTGTTTCAAAATCTCTTGTGGTTCGGGCAACCCGGCGGGCACAGAGAGAGTCACTAAATATCAGGGCGTCATATTTTAGCCAGACTCGGAAACGTCTTCCTCCCACAGACACGCCCCGTGGTGCCGAATGCGCGCGGCCTGCGACGAATTCGTGACGTCGTCGGTCCCGGTCAGCTCCTGCCTACGACCGATCAGAGCTGCTAAAACCTTTTTTTTTTTTGTCGAAATACAAAATATAAGTGGTGCAAACCGTTTCAATTATTTATGAGAGTAATTTTTGTTTTAAGTATTTTAGACGAGAAAAAAACAAATGCAGCTTAGAGAGTATAGAAACAAGAAACAATGCGCGATGACCCATCGACATAGTCGCCACCAAGCGGTGGAAGAGGCGTCGCAGGCGACCCTGCGGATCCTAGCGGACGAGGTACAAACCTGGCGGCACATTTCGCAAGAAGCGAATGTATGAATTTGTCTCCTGTGGTCTCGCGCCACAGGAGGCCCACCCAAAACTTGCCTGGGACTTGAGCATTGTCGAGCTGGGGCCGAAAGGCTTCGCCAGCGCGCTCCCGACGCTTACTTGGAGTGTCCTTGAACGGTACTACTCCCAGCTCTGCACTTCTGTTGAGAATTCGGATCTCCAAATTTGACAGACCTGGTAAATTCATGCCGGCACACGCTGTGGAGGGCCGTAGCAAGCAACGAGCAATTGACGCACATGCAGCTGCAGGGGAAGTGACCACTAACGTAAACAACAGCCAAATGGCTACGGTAATCACTTCGCTTCTACCACTGACCACCCAAGCCAGGACTTTGGACGTCATAAAGGAGGTTAGTTTTTGCATGATTTTGTCATTTTAATTTCTCTGTAACTTTTAATATAAAGCAAAGTTCGAGAAACGAGAAGTTTCGCCAAGTTACTACGTTCAGTGCACTCAGGTTCGGTGCAAATTGAAAACCAGTCAAAAAGTCATAACTAAAAGAAAATGAAAAAACACTGAGACGAAAAACACTGAGACTTGTACGACGACATCCAATCTATAAATTTTGGTGAAGAGAGACAGGAGCCACAACAACAGCTTCCAAGAACAAGTGCCCGGTGCAACAAAATATTGTGGTCACATAAGTGCCAGATAGCGATGGTCAAAAGCAAGCAACTGTCGTTTAACAATATGCACTTACAAAGATGCCCGTGCTGAGGACTATCAGCCCAATAAAATTGGTACGAAGTTCCTCTAGTCTGCCACGTTTCTTTTTCATACCATTTGAGAATGCAGTGCAATGTCTTCACATGCATAAAACAGCACAAAAAACATTGCGTCACCTCCTACGTAAACCACCTGCTGGAGGGCAGGAATTGGGCTATGGTCAGAATCGACACGAGAAGCCGAGACTTAGTCAATTTCTTGGCGACAAAACTGCTACAGTGGGATCCCAGCATCAAGCGGGATGGCAAAGGGGAAACCTTGTAAAGAGCTACTCTGCCTGCAGCACATTTGCTTCAGCTAAGATATGCAATGGAAGAAAAGAAAAAAAAACCACTCCGGGAGCTTGACTGTCAACCTATATTTCTGAGAAACAGTGAAACAGAAGTCTGATTACATATTTATCATCCCCAAATTTTGCTCAAGACAAACGACATAAGAATAAAAAAAAAAGTATTGCCACAATAAAGTTGTACTTGCAAATTAATTACGCATGTGAACAATCCCACATTAAGCAGCGATTCAAAGGATCCTGTAAACGAAGCAAATTCATGGCCGAGTTAGTATTCATTGAGGCTTAGCTTCACAGACCCTTTTCATTATTTAAAAAATGTAAGAACATTAGCCATCAGTGAAGCAGAAAAACAAACTATCCTGTGTTACACAAAAAAGAAGCAAAGGGAATTTTCCAGCAAACCAATGACATCTACGGTTTGAAAATTCTGATGCAGACAGCCAGGCAACACGGAAACAACTGCCACGAAAATGAACACGGAGCAAGAAAATATTGGGAACACGTAACACAAAGGAAAGTGATATCTGAACACAGGTGTGAAATAAATACATAACTGTGAAGATGCCAGTGTAAGAAGGCAGAAGCACTTTGAGTATGAGCATGTTAGTCAGTTCAAAATTTTCCAAAACGTTTGTCAATGCAGTCCTGAAGGGGCATTATGCAGTATTTAAAATGGATACAGTGCCAATGTAAAGCAAAACCTACTGGGCAGTACGAGGGATTTAAGGAGTGGTGTACCAACAAGTACAGTCAAACCTCGATATATCGAACACGGATATATAGAATTATTGCCTATATCGAACGCTTTCTATATCACGCAGAAAATCGCATGCATTTTTTATTTTTTATTTCAAACGGGGTAGGGCATAAAATGAATATACCGAACTCCGCCACCCCAAATAGCCCGCACTCTTTTGACAGGCGGCGAGCTTTCCTGCAACACCCTCGAAGATAATAGCGGTGGCGCAATGGGCGCTTCCGAATGCCTACACACACGCCGAGGGCGCCATTTGAACGTAGCGGCGCGCGCACGCCGCTGCCTGGATAGTTCGTCGCAACGCCAACGACGCACTGCATTTGTCGCACCAACTCCTCCTCCTCCGTATTATCAGTAGTGCTACGCGTGTGATCGTAGTTCTTTCGTGTGTCCTGTTGCCTTGCGTGAGTGATGGCTCCAAACACTAAAAAACGGACGTCCCTGACATTTGCTGCAAAACTAGAAGCTATCCAGCGGGTTGATAATGGAGAAAAAAAGTAGAGCGTCGTCGAAGCTTTAGGCCTACCAAAAGCACTTTGAGTACTCTACTGGAAAACAAGAGTCACACAAAGGCCAAGGCAGAACAGAACCAGCACTCAGGCGCGCGGCGTGTACGCAAAGCTGCCTTTGAAGTTGTTGAGAAGTCGCTGCACAAATGGTTCATCGACGCAAGGGCCCAGAATATTCCTGTATCCGAACGGATGTTACAACAGAAGGCCAAGACCTTTGCATTCATTCTCGGCGCCGAGAACTTCAATGCCAGTAGCGGTTGTCTGCAACGTTTTAAGGCCCGCTTTAACATTGTCGGGAAGACAGTCTCGGGGGAAAGTGAGGACGCCAATGAAGTGGAAATGAAGAAGTGGCTTGATCCAGAGTGGCCTCAGGCAGGTTCTCGCCAAGTACGAGCCGCACCAGATATTTAATGCGGCTGCTCCCGCCTCTGCGGTCGGTCGGTGCTTCGCGGAGCGCGACGGCCACGCGCTTTTAACAAGTTTCTAACGCGTTTTTGATGCGATTTAATATATTGAATTCTGGCTGTATCAAACTATTTTGCCATCACCGCGCAGTTCGATATATCGAGGTTCGACTGTAGCAGGAAGTGCTGCGGTGCACACACTTGCCAATCAGTCCCCCTCTGAGGAAACTGCTAGAATGAGGTCTTGGCACGGTACAGAACGTCAAAAGAAAAATCTTGGAAAAAGTTACTTCACAATAACAGGCTGTGAAGTTTTGCGTTACTTCACACTTTTGCGTTACTTCTGCGTTACGTCTCACAACTTAAAGAACACATGCAAAGGAAAAAAACATTTTTTTCAAACAGCCTAGACTGAAAAATAATGTTCAGCCTAGATTGCAAAATAATGTTATAAAATTAATTTCCAATGAAGAAAAAAAATTTTGGAGCTATATTTACTGCGCAAAACGAATTTGTAGTTGGCGCCCGTGGGAGCCGCTGCGGGTAACGTGGTACACTTTTGTGCCGTTGCCGCCTCAAAGTCACGCCGCTGCCACACTCTGAGCGTGGTGCGTCGCCGTTTCAATATGTTTCTCCACACCACCGTTGCCGCGTAAGTTTGTCTGCTCCACGGAGCCGCCGCTGTCATCTGACCGGCGCACAGGCCTACCATGTCTGCTTGTGCATTTTCAGGAGCTTCCTTTGGGCTCTAAAAGTGACTTATTAATCTTCATGTCTTGTTGCACTTGAAACAAAGATGAATATGTAACTTTTAGAGACCATAGGAAGCTTCCAAAAGAGTGCAAGTATCACGTGACAAATTGCGGCCGGTCATATGACAAATAGCGGCCACTTTTACGAGGCGCCAGCGGGCGCCAACTACAAATTCGTATAGTGCCATAAATATAGCTCTAAAAATTTTTATTTTTCGTAGTAAATTAATTTTATGACTTCCTTTTCCTAACCAGGCTGTTTAAAAAAATGTTATTTTTCCTTTGCATGTGTCCTTTAAGGCCTATTCACACACTTGCGTTGTGTGGCCAACCAAGCAGGAAATTTGATCAAAGCTTCTCGGATATTGCTGGCATTTGAAAGGCCTACGTCGTGCAGGCTTTACGCAAATGCCCTTGGGGTTTGGTAAGCTCATGTGTTAGCATGTGCCCGGTGAGGCAAGACCGTTTAGAAAATGGCCTGGAACGCTGCTGGAATGTGTGAGGCTTATTACGCATAGGCGCTTCAGTGCGGCGAGTTATTAATCTGAACAAAGGCCTTGGACCAATCTTGCACTCAGGTATATACATACTTTGAATAAAAAGGCATTAAGTTTTGCACGAGTTAAATCATTACACACGGAGCAAGCTCAGCTTACGGGTCAACCGCAAGGCATTCTGCACGTGTGCATTTGGTTCTGGTGGATAAACTCCTACACTGAGCAAAGCTCTTGGAGCATTGCTCGCACTTGGAAGGCTTTTAAACACTGTTTTCGATAATGGCAGTTCAGACTCGTATTATGAGAAAAGGCTTGGGGACACTACTTACACTTAAATGGCTTTTCACCTGTGTGCGTTAGATTATGCTTCCTTAGATAGGAATTTCGAGCAAAGGCTTCGGGGCACTGCTTGCACTTAAATGGTTTTTCACCAGTGTGCATTCGATTATGGCGTCGCAGATAGTAATTTAGAGCAAATGCTTGGGGGCACTGCATGCACTTAAATGGCTTTTCACCAGTGTGAATTCGATTATGCTTTCTCAGATCGGAATTTTGAGAAAAGGTTTGAGGGCACTGCTTGCACTTAAATGGCTTTTCACCAGTGTGCTTTCGGCTATGCTGTCTAAGATTAGAACTGTGAGCAAAGGCTTGGTTACACTGCTTACACTTAAATGGCTTTTCACCAGTGTGCATTCGATTATGGCGTAGCAGATAATAATTTTGAGGAAAGGCTTGGTGGCACTGCTTGCACTTAAATGGCTTTTCACCAGTGTGCATTCGATTATGCTTTCTCAAATCAGAATTTTGAAAAAAGGCTTGGGGGCACTGCTTGCACTTAAATGGCTTTTCACCAGTGTGCTTTCGACTATGCTGTCTAAGATTGGAACTGTGAGCAAAGGCTTGGGGGCACAGCTTGCACTCAAATGGCTTTTCACCAGTGTGCGTTCGGGTATGATTTCTCAAATGGGAATCTTTAGCAAAGACTTTGGGGCAGAGCTTGCACTTAAATGGCTTTTCACTCTTGTGCTTTTGAGTGTTGCCGAGCACTTGGGACTTAGGGCCAGACATGGGATGCTGGCACCTGGATTGTTCATCACCATGGGCAGCCAGGTGGCTCACAATGACATGCTGATTTCTGGTGACATAGGTGCAGGAACAGCACGCGAACCAAATGTCCTTGGTGACTTTCAGTGGGTAGCTGGTCTCTCCCAACAATGTGGCTCCATCACCTAAAATAAAATATATGTATTGATACACAAGGAAAACCCAACCAAGATAGCCAGTTAGTTTGGAAGAGTTGTCATTAACAGTTTTGCCGCAGCTGTAGTTCAATATTTTGCAGCGCTTCAAAATTCTATTCACGGAAGCACTCAAATGCAACTGCCATCATTAAGGGGAGTCCCTTTTCTTGAAAAGTAAAAATCCTAGAAAAAATTATATTTTTTAAATCTCGATTTCTAGATGAGACTTTTACATATCTTCTTGCCTTCGAAAGTATTCCTGACTTATCAGAATTTTCTCTTCTTTCTTTTTGTGCCGCAAGAAAATCCTAGACTTGAAAAACAAAATCTGGATCTGAATACTTCTTGGGGCCTGGATACCTCATTATTCAAAGAGTGGAACAAAAACAATATTTCTTTAGATTGTTAGATATGACATTTTCTAATTGGTCAATGACTGTTCCGACTATGGTAGGTCGGATCGAAAGTCTCCCTTCAAGTTAGCAGTAGAATTTCAACAAGTAATGCAGTCATATCTCGCTAATATGGAGGCAATGTTATATGCTCCATGCGGGAACTATAGGGGCACTTTGAAAAACGCGCGTAGCGCCGCTAGCGGAGGAACTGGCGCTGGAGTGAGGTGCCTTCAGCAGCCTGTGGCGCCTTCCGTGTGCGGAGGAAGCGTGCACTGATGGAACTTTCACTTTTTGAGCCGATACCCTGAGGGTAACATTGCACGAGGGCTGGGGCAGACCTAAAGTCATCTAGCTGTTTTCTGCCTCTCATATATTGAGTTTGACTTGTTAATAGGTTTAATTTTTCTAGTTGCAGTAGAAAAAGGGGTTTGAGCACTTTTTGAAAAAAAGGAAGATGGCCACCACTATAATTGCTCTCAGTAGGAAATTCGTCTTGCTCATCGCTAGAAAAATAGGACTGTACAAACTTTACGTAACACGATGGCCATGCAGCTGATCACAAAGGTTGCCATCATGCCGGTAGTTTCTGTTTCGCTGTAGACACCCCAGACAAATATTTGAGATAGGATATCTACAAGACTGCAAAATGCATTGAAACGGACACCTCGTAATTCAGGAACACTTCCTTCACTAAAAAGCGTCGTAACCCTAAAATTCAAAACATGTACCCGAGTGGCCCTTTAAGAGTGCAGAGGATAGTGCCGCTTGTGCTTGTGTCCGCCAAAAAGCAAGCGGTGCATTTTCTCCTACGAGTGGAGATAACACGAGTGCAACGTCAACCTACCATGGCAATCTCATGAATGATATTCACACGGAGATGTCTCAGATGCAGACTTGAAAAGGCTGTACAAAATTCTAGAACCCAGGTGATAAGATAAGGAAACAAGATTTGTGTCCAACTTGCTGCCGATCACTGAAAACTCCTAGGACATACTGCGCGGACATGCGTCGTCGTGGATGACGACGTGCACAAATGATTAAATTGAGAGGATGGCACCAATAGTTTCATGCTATGTCTCATTTCTTGCTTCATGAAGAGACACTTTATTGCACAATAAAAAGAAAAAAAACTTTTGTGGCTCTTGGATTATCTCGGGCAAAGCGCCGGCTTGCGGATTCCCAGGTTCAATACTACATCAAACGATCCCAATCCTCAATGCTCTCCGGACACATTCTTAAAATTTACTTTTTTTTTCTGTGTGGTTTCTCAGCTGATGACTGTTCAAGACCTTCATATAAGCTGTCTGGTCACAAACCTGGAAGCATCCAAAATTTAATGTGAGTAAAAGCATTTTGCTTTACCAAAAAAAAATTATTAATACTGTATTATTTAATGTCTAAAAAATAGCAACTCTTCATGTATGGTCCATATGGACACATGCTTCAAACTAAAATGTAAATTTAGTAATATTTTTCTTTGATTTGTTTGAAAGTGGCAGACATAAATTATTCTTTCGATCAATCTTTAAATGCCAGTGTCTTGACTCACTGAAAGATTCCGGTGTGTGCCAACTTGATATAAAAATAAAGCGAGGATTCCAAGTGCTTGCGTGAAATCGATGCGTATTTGAAGCGACTGGCCACAACAGAGCCCCAGGCTACGCTTGACGGCCACAGCCTGCAGTGTCTTTTATTTGATGGAGATCTCTCGAATCAAAGCCGTGCAGTCAACTGCACGATACTATGGCATTTTCGTAGCCATCAGGCATGCAGAACATCACAAAACCACCAATAGAAATACAAAACACAAAACTTTGCCAAGATGTTGCCTCTTAAAAGCATGCAACGAATACCCGAACTGGAAAGAATTTTCAGCCCCTGTCAAGGTGGCCAAAACTGCCCAGAATACCACGTAGAGGAAGTCAACACTCAACTAGCCCAACATTTACTCGCTGCTGCCATGACCCTCCTTTAAAATCATTAGTTTGCTGCTTTCGGCTTCACTAAGCCCAACCCTCATCACCATGCACACCTTTTTCTGGTATTTCCACTTCTTGTAAAGGCTCCCTACAGGAGCCAGAGTTGCGTGTCGAGCCATCTTGAAATCTTAAAGGGGCAGTGCAACGGTTTTAATGTTGAAGGAATTGCCATTTTGCATTTTTTATAATAATTATGCGGCGGCACGTTCAAAACAGACGCACAACTCTGGCTCCCGTAGGGAGCCTATGGGGACAGCCGTACAAGAGTTGCTCTAAACTATGACCAGCCATAGTAAAGCCACAGGTGGAAACAATGAACTTACCATGACATGAAGACTGATTCGGTTCCATACGAACTGTGGGATGGGGTCAGGGTCCGATGGCACTCGCCAAACACTGTCTCACAGAAGCCAAGCCGTTTTCCACGAGGCTCCCGGAACTGTAATCATACAGCAAGTTTAGACAGCGGGAGGTTAGTGAGCCCCAATGGGTGTCTGTCGTCTCCACTGTAAATCAAATTCTGCCACTGCAGTACGACCGCTAGCCTGGGGTCCTTAAAAGGCTATTGACACCTCCCAAATTTATTATTTTTTTTTTTTTAGAGCGCAGCTTTTAGGCGCTGGTTTCCGGGTTGAGCGGCGTCAGCGTCAACATAACCACCGCTGCATTATGGGACATTTCCCTAATGATGTTGCACGTGACATCACGTGTGACATCACGAGGGTAAAATTATCCTGCGAAATTTAGAGGGGGAAATTTTACGCGAAACTTAGCGGAGAAATTTTACCCTCGTGACGTCACACGTGCTGTCACGTGTGACATTATTATGGCAAACGTGACGTCACGCTAAATTTAGAAGAAATTTTCCGCTAAATTCGCCGGGGAAATTGATGCCCCGTGACCTCAAAACCAATTCAGCTTCTTCGCTAAATTTAGGATGAAAACTTTCGTTAAATTTCCCCGCTAAATTTAGAGGAAAAATGTTGGTGAATTTTCCTGCTTTTCCTGAATTTTCCTGCTTTTCCTGAATTTAGCGGGGAATATTTCCCCGCTAAATTTAGCGGGGAAATTTTTCCGCTAAATTTAGCAAAAAAACTTGAGCAATAATTTCCCGCTAAATAAGAGGGGAGCAGGAGGGAAGGAGGGAACGGAAAGGGAGCAGGGACATACCCTCCCCTCCTCCTCCTCAAGAGCTGCACTCTAATTCGGCATTACAGAGATTTGTAAACATATTTTATTTTTTATATATCGCCAGGCGATCTATAACGGTGTCAGAAGACTACCCGATCAATATTTTTCTAAGGTGTCACATTTATTCTTAATAATGTTGGAAAATGCAACTGCTTGAAACCGAAACTGAACTGGGGACGAAGAAGAAATATAGTGGAGGAGCAAGTTACCAAAAGTCACGTGGCTGTGCAACTTCTTTTTTTTTTTCAATCGACATATTTGCAGCTTTTTAGGAGCTACAAAAAATGGATATAATATTTCTGTCTATTTTTAGTATTGAGTGCATGCTTTTAATGACCCACAACAAGGATTGTCTTTGGTAGTTGTGTCTAAACCATAGAAAACGGCACGTGACCACAGAGACGAGAGTGAGCGCGACTCAAACCGGCCAGTTCTCGTTCGGAATCTTATACGTCATGTTAGTTGGGCTCTTATATGTCATATACAAGCAAAAACCTTAGCAAGCATAAAAACTGTCAGTGTCTCTTTAACGTGCATCGCGCAGTGGCGACACGCGACCTCATGTCGGTATGACTCTCATCCAGATCGAAACTGGAAAGGGCAGGGATTAAACCTTGGATCTCCGGGTTCTGAAGCACAAGCTTTCATCCACGTTATTTGAGCTGCAGTGCATTAAGACCCGCGGTCACTGACCCCCCTCCACTTTTGTAATCGAGTGCAGAACCGGTGGATAAGAAATATTTCTCGCCAAGCTGAAGGCAAGCTGCAAATGCACAAAAAAGGCAGGTCTAGAACTTGCTGGAAAGTAAACAAATACATAACCTTCGGAGCAACGTTGTCGGCCAAGGTAAGTTTTAGAGCAATGTTCGCTGTCAAATTAGGTTTGGAGCTGTCGGTTTGTCCTCCTTGCAAATGTTTTGAGTGCTGCTAAACCCTTTCCGCGGTACAATCATTTAATTCACAATGAAGTGAACTATACTTAGATGGTTAAGTGCTCAATATTTACGAGCCCTAATGGTTGCAGTTATACTCGGCGTCAACTATTTCGTGCTACATTGTGGAGCTTGGTGTAGCTTCCACAGTGCGTGAGCACGTCGTTTCCTCTCACATGCACAACCAGCTTAAAAAGAATTAGAACCCAGCGCAAGCTACGTTAGCCTGAAAAACAGCACAAAATAGATGACGCCTGGTAAAGTAATAGACCTATTGCTAAATTGCCCAGGCATCAACGAGAATGCTGGGAATGAAGGTCAACGTGCCGCATGCACTCGCCTTCTTCGTATAGAAGATTTGAAGTAAATGACCAAAAGAAGGCATCCAGAAATGCAAGGTGGCACATTTGTTTTAGGTTGTTTCTTTAAGACAAGCTACTGCTGCAGCACATGCAGTGCGTGTAACTACACTCGTAGCATGCTCCTTGGTGTTTGAATACTTTAGGGGAAAGGACGACAGTGGCAATATACACGGCTTGCATGTGACCAAAGTGTCGAACCGAAATGTTTATCAGTTCATTTCGGGTTCTGGGTCACGGCTTTCGAATCAGTTCCGGAAAGCAAAAAATTCAAACCAGTTTGAACCGACTTGAACTGCTAGATCAAGAATTTATTTTCCGCATTATTTCGGCAACAGGCATTATTTTTGCAATGAGAGGAGTAACTATATAGCTTTCGTCTTATCGTACCTAAAATCCAGTTAAATTTTCAGGTACAAAAAAAATTAAAAAATTGCATTATTTAATTTTATGCAACGGTCAAAGAAGAAACAAAATTGGTATAAACATTTGAAACATGTTTATATGACTCAACATCCATTTGTTTACCTCGGTCATACATTTTACCTGAATCGTGATTGCCACAGAGTGTGGTAGGTTGCCTAAAATACACGTGATTGATACAACTTTCTGTCACAGTATTAAAAGTTGAATCATAGTTGTGCACGTGAAATAAGCAATTAATTAGTGCATAAAATCACAGAAGGGGCAGCTTGCTGCCATATATCTTGTGAAATATAGTTTCCAAAATATGATGACGATGAAACTGGGCATAAAGCATTATTACTTACAAAATTTTCGGACGTGTTTACACTCAGCAACATGATGCACGCAAAGAATCGTGCAGAGAAGAGTGATCGAAATTGTTTAGTCAAATCTACATATACAGGGTGTCACAAAAGAAAATTTACAGTCTTTTTTATCGCTAAAATAAACTAGGCATCGCCAAACGCTCATTTTTCGGCCAAAGGTATAGCTAGAGGTCAAAACCGGATGCCAAAGTTTCAGCCCGATCCGATAACTTAATCAAAAGTTATAAGTGATTTTCTGAAAATTTCAATCGGAAAATGGAGCCCATTTTCGCCCGTTTTCAGTTTCTGATGCCATACAGCCCCATGTGTTCAAAAACTCCGTCGGCCGCCATTTTCCCATGGAAATTTTGGGATGAAACGGGCTGAAACTTTGGCATCTGGTTGTGACCTTTAGCGCTACCTTTGGGCGGAGAAAGAGCGTTCGGCGATGCCTAGTTTATTTTTGCGGCAAAAAAGACTGCAAATTTTCTTTTGTGACACCTGTACACAATTTGTACTCAGATCGAATCTGACCTAAAATGTTGTGCCCAAGCGAATATTTTCTTATACAAGATGAACAGCACAGCCTGGCTGTGGAGGTTGGTTCTTGACGAGACGCAGGTCAATTCAATCTGCAAATAAGCATCACGCTTGCTAATTGGTCAATTTTTGTTTAAAAAAAAGTAGTATTTCATGCTCTACTCGGCATGACAGCTACTTAATTGGCCACTTTCTGTAGGTATGCGTGCGTAATTGTCATACTTCCTCCAGGCACCCCTGTGTACTTTGTTCTTGTCCAGAACACAGACAAATGAAATTGCTGTTCATCACATAAAAGCAATAGTATACTTCCATATGTGTGAGACACTATGCATGTGTCAGAAACACATAGTTATTTAAATGAGCTTCAAAATCAAAGCTTTGTTTAAGGCCCTCAAAATCACTTATGCATGCGCCAATCAAGGATAAAAATGCCGAGGAAGATTTGCAGAACGTCTTTCAGATAATTTGGGAATTCATTTGCATGTGACGTGTATAATTAAGGTGATTGGCCTATGTTGCCAAATCTTTAGTCAGTAATTAAATATATTTTTATTATCACCAATAAGTTAGACTGTATGAAGTTCACATAACTGCTTGAGACCGACACGGGAGGACGATACTCAAAAATATGCTAGCCGTTGAGTTCCCTGAAGCATGGTTTTTTGTTCCCCGTTTGGCAGTGTGAAACAGTGGTTGCGGGGTATGCCAAAAAGGATTTTGTGCTCACATGATAGGTCTGAAGGGAAAGACACAAAATGTGCAGGAAGAGAAAGATAAGAAATTATAATCTTAAAAAGAATCCGATGCACGATGCCTTACTGCAAAATAAATGCATAGATATGTACAATGATATTCCAAATTACATATACATAGCCCGAAGGACAAACTAAGACTTTTTGAAAAACGGAAACTCGTGAAAAAAGAAGAAAAAGGGTTTATAATCCTCACACAAGTCACACTTGGGCATCAGCTTGCACAAGCTAAAAATTTCGCAGAATACTGCCTCGAGAGGTTGATGGTATATTTGGTTTTACGTGCACTTCTTTTGGGCCCTCATTTTACGGCTGTGTGCTTTATCAGTCACAGTGATGTGATTGGCCTAAGCCATTGTGGAGCACCTTTCGGAGCAACCAAAACAGTGCTTTGGAGCAGCAAATCTGGTCTTTGGAGCAACCAAAACAGTGTTTTGGAGCAGTAAAGTGGCTTTTGGAGCCGTCAAGACAATGTTTCAGAGCAGCAAAAGTCGCTTTTGGAGAAGATATCCGAATAAAAATAAAAATATTTATTTTCAGTGCTGTATAAACGAAGGGCACTTTGTGTTGTGTTGTGTTGTATTGCATTCTCATTAGACTTGTTGTGACGGAACTCGCTGCTTGTGGTTTTACTGCTGAGACATCACACAACTGTACAGTGCTGTAGGCATTGCCGAGCAATTCCGAAAAACCGCTTGCCACCGTTTTACTGGTTCCCGACGTGCCAGATTTTCGTCAAAAGTAAGCAAACGTGAAACAATGGACTGCAAGTGCACCGGCTGGTACCTCTGTCGTGCAATCGTGTTCGCATACACGTGAGGGCAACTTCTGCAGGCTTGCAGTTGTGCGTGCTTCATCGCGCGAACGAAGACAATGGCAGTTCGATCAAAAC